TTTCCCTCCCCTACCCCCCCCCCCCCCCTTTAAGTATTTGACATAGCAGATGAGCTCAGCGGCCCTTCAGACCCAGCAGGGGACTACATTCTGCTCAGAGAAAACAGATTTCTCCAACAACCTGTCATTTCTGCAGTACTGCAGAGCTGACAGGTTGAGAGTGGACATGGGATTGGGCATCTTCAGAGACCAGGAACAAATTTTTTTTTAGATCCAAGAGATACAGCTATTTTCTCTTCCAGTGGATATTTACAGCTCTGCAACCTAATGAAAATTCTACTCTCTGTCATCAGCCCAGCAATAAGTCTTAAAGCTTGCCTACAGAAAGTCATTTTGCTATAGATTGATTTAATTTCAGGTCTCAATCTTAATTCACCAACTCCTCCTCAAAAGGACTTGTCAGCAGGTGACCAATGCCCAGCTGCCACCAGAGATCTAACCCAAACAAGGTTTTGTTTAAACTGGGCAGGCCCTCCCAGCTTGCCACGTACAAAACCACCACCAACCCCAGTCAGGACTGGCACCGACACAGGCAACATCATCACAGAAGAAAATAGCAAGGAATTAATGCAGTGCTGCAACGGAATTGTACATTTATCATACCATACAGTTATGCGTTGCATTGCGATTCTGTTTGGGCTTTTTCTTTTGCCCCCCCCCCCCCATATGTGAAGTATCTTTATAGCTGTACTAACTTAACATTACCCAAAGCAGTGTCAAATTTTGGGTTTGCACAACTCACTAGCATGCTTTTAGTGATTTATTCCAAAGCACAGAGGAAGCAACTCAAAACTAACCTCCCCTGCTGCAGGAAAAAAAGGCAGTTGTTATTGCCTGTATTTAATTGGCACAGAAAAGCATACTTGGGATTTGCTGTTACTAAAAAAATTGTATTAACCGATTAATCCATTTAGGGAACATTTGAACAAACTGGACATAAACAAGTTCAGGAGACCTGATGGGATGTACCAGTGAGCACTGAGGGAGCTGGACGATGTCATTGTCAAGCAGATCTCAATGATCTTTGAAAGGTCACGGCCATCAGGAGAGGTTCCTGATGACAGAATGTAAATACTCCCTTCAAGGAGGAGGATCAGGGTAACTACAAGGCTGGTCAGTCTCACCTGAGCTTTTTTTCCTAAACAGAAAACACGAACTTGCACAGTCATACCTCATTTTTGTTATCACTGCAATAGCGGTACAAAAAAATGTCGAAGCTGCGGCTCCTGCAGAACATTCCTCCAGACCGTCTCCCTCAGAGTACCGCCACTGACAGACCAGCAGCCTCACTGTCTCCTCGGGGCAGCATCCCCAAGACCACGAGCACAAAAAATTCGGGAATTGTTTTATCTGCAGTTTCTACACCAGTCACAACAGCAGCTGTGTCTGATGTCTCCTAACGAATTTCCAGTGCAATCAACAATGGCAGAAGAGGTCTCGGGAAAGAAACATTCCTAAAGAACTTTGCTAGAAGGACCGTGTCAGACAGCCTAACCCCTCACCCCCAGAAGAGCAGACAATTTATTTGCACACAGGTGCTTCATAACACAAGCAATAATGACAAGACTGCCAGCTCTTTAAGTAGTTTATAAAAGTATTTGACTTACTGAGATACTGTTACAGTTACCTGAGTATTTGAAATTACAATGCAAGGAAATTTCAACAATGAATTTCAGTACAGTATTTTACAATCCAGTGCTGCTGATCCCGGTTTATGTACGAGTTCACTAGAGCACATATACACAAACAGTGATTCTTGAAGAAAATCAAAAGACATCACAAAATGGGGGCTGGAGATACCAATATAACAGAGAGCGCTGAGATTACAAATCCAGTGCAACATGTTTAATTTTTTTGGTTTGCGTTTTTATTACAAGCATTTTTTGTTTGTTTTACTTTTCTCAGAATAATTAAAAAAACCTTTTTTTTATAAACCACAAGCAACTGGATTAAACAAACCAAACAACTTCCATATTAGATCAGTGAAGACATGACCACGTCTTCCAACCCAAACCACTCTACAATGCAGTTACTGTGCATTTCATTAATATATTAACATTTCCTGAGCTACCCAGAACAATAAGGCTTTGTTAATTCTTAGATCAGCGGCTCAGCGTTTAATTTTCTCATGTCATTCTCATAAGGCAAAATTCTAAACAAAAGTTATTTTAATACTTGAAAATTAGGATCAACTGACAGTTGCATATGAATATATGTTTGTGACATAATATGAATTTATGCAGCTCAGGCTGCTAAATCAGTTGAAGTAGTGGGAGACAAATTCATTAATCTCTGCTGAAAATTCTAAGTCCAATTCATAATAACCTGTTATCTGGGATACCAGATGCTGTGGGCTCATCCACATGTTGTTTTCACCAGATCCCCATATAGAACAGAAAAGTGCACCAGTGGCTTATAATAATTCCTGTTTATTTCTACAGAACATGATGTAAAAAATTAACAGATTCGTTAGCATTCACAATGCTGGCAAAGTACAATGCCTGAGTGATCTTAACCTCTGACTTCAGAAATATTGCCAATTTAACACAGTGAAGTTGCTTTAAATTTTTTCTATGTTTCAATGGCCAATGTTTCACAGATTCCCCCCCCTCCCCCCAATGAATTCATTATTTGCAATATTTTAAAATTGTATCTGGTGCTTGGGATATC